AGATCTGGCAGCAGACTAGAAGGACTGCTAGTCTCTCACAACTCTCTCTAACCGGAGTTAGTTGCACTGAGCCATTTGTAGTGCTTTTTAATTTAACTGTTCATTACTTGTATTATATATTTATCTGTATATGATTTAACAGTTCATTTCTTATTATATATATAATTATCCTTATAAATATATTTAATTATCAGCAATTTGGTGTTATCTCTCTAGAGAACCTTGTCTAACACACACCAGATTATGTAACTACCACAGCCCTCGTCTTCCCTCCTAATTTACAGGTTCTCTGAGATTGGGAGCCTCGCTGTCATTGTTCGTCTCTGTATCTCCAGCAATTAGGATGCTTTTCACTGAGTAAATGCTCATTAAATAGATTTGCTCACTGGATGGATGAAAAGATGGCATCAGTGATAACTGAACATTCATTATTTGTTGTTGATACCTAAGGATCACAGCCTTAGATTTGGCATTTGGATATCGACAATTATAGGTACAACTTTCAATAGGAAGTAGATTTTTCAAACCTTACATGAAATAGCTGGTTTTTAATTTATCTTTAAAAAAACAACTGCCACAAAAAATACCCTATTTGCTTGGGGAAATTACTGTGAGGATTATTAAGTGAGCCAATGGAGACCTAGTGTATTAGTCTAGGTACTTTAGAGAAACAAATCCACAGAAACTCATGTGAGAGAGTTTTATATAAAGGGTAAGTGCACATCAAGGAAACATCCCAACCTAGTGCTGCCCAAGCCCACAAGTCCAACATTAACCCATATGTCCAACACCAATCCACAAAGTCCTCCTCCATCTCACAAAACACACACTATGATGCCAACTGCAGGAGGAAAGCCAAGTCAGTGAGCGTGTAAGCATCTCAGCACTGGCAGGGGTCTCCACAGGGCTGCTCCAGCACCCAGGGCTGCATCAGGGTAGTTCCATGCTGCTTCTTTTTGGAGATGTCTTGCAGGAAGTGAGCCTTGCCAGCTGAAGCAGGGAACTGGCCAAGGCAACTGCACCCTGGTCCAACCCTCACAAAGCAAGAGACCTGAGAACTCGAAAGGCGAGGCTCACAGAGCCATTTATCTCTTCGCACTTCAATTAACCCCACATGTGTTTATCGGCCAGTTGGCACAATAAACTAACTCATTTGGTGTAATAAAAATGGATGCATTTGAATTATTGTGCTGGCGAAGCAAATTGAAAGTACTGTCGATTGCCAGATAAGGAGCCCTGGGGGTATATTGGTTATGTGTTGCTCTGTGGTCACATGGTCGGCAGTTCAAAACCACCAGAAGCTCTGAGGGAGGAAGTCTGGGCTTTCTATTCCAAAGGTAAACAGTAACAGTCTCAGAAACCCACAAACCCACTCTGAGTCAGCATTGACTCGGTAGCAGTGAGTTTGCTTTGGTAGTAGGGTTGCTAGAGGAGCAAACAAACCTGATGTGTGGAGGGAGTACAGCCAGGATGCTTCTTAAACGCAAGGATGGCAAGACTTTGTCTCACCTACTTTGGACACGTTATCAGGCAAAGCCAGTCCCTGGAAAAGGACATCATGCTTGAAGGGCAACAAAAAAATAGGAAGACCTCACGGAGATGGAGTGACACTGGCTGCAACAATGGGCTCAAGTAACAGTTGGGAGGGTGCTGCAGAGGACCGGTCAATACTCTGTTGTACATAGGGTTGCTGAGTTGGCGCTGACTCGATGGCCCCTAACAACAGTGGAAAGTGTAAGCTTTGTCATCGTGCCCTATCATCATAAGGGGCATTCACACAGTGATTTGGTACCCAGTTGGTGGGTCTGCAGAGAGATTGTATTGTTATTAGGTGCCATCAAATGATTGCTGACTCAGTACAACAGAACGAAATACAGGCCGATCTTGTCCCACTTTCACACTTGCTGTTACGTTTAAGCTCCCCGTTGCAGCCATGTCAGTCCATCCTACCAAACATGAGGTCCTTCTCCGGGGGCTGCTCTCTCCTGATAGGAGCGTTCTGGCTGTCCTTGATTTGTTTGTTCTTCTTGAGGCCCACCACGGTACTTTCAATGTTACTCACCAACACCATGATTAAAATGCCTTGATACTGCTTCAGTCTTCCTTATTCATCGTCCAACTTTCCCATGATTATGAGGCATACGAAAATAGCATGGCCTGGGTTAGGTGCACCTTAGTCTCCAAACTGACAGTTATGCTCTCAGCACTTTAAATGAGGTCTTGTGCAGCAAATTTGCCCAATGGTTTCTTGACTGCTTCTTTACTGAGCATTGATCATGGATGAAATCCTTGACTTCCGTCTTTTCTCTGTTTATCATGACGTTGCCTATTAGTCCAGTTGTGGAATTTTTTTCCTGTACATTGAGTGGCAATCATATGGAAGGCTGCAGTCATTGATCTTCATTAGCAAGTGCTTCCGGTCCTCCTTGCCTTCAGCAAGCAAGAATGTCATATGCATGTGGCTGGTTGTTAATAACTTTTTCTCCAATCCTGATGCCTCCTTCCTCATATAGTCCAGCTTCAGGGATTATCTGCTTAACAGATGAATGCGTATGGTGACAGAATAGAACCTTGATGCGCACCTTTCCTGTTTGTAAATTACTCAGTATCTCTTCTCATTGATAACCATAGCTTGTGACCATTAATTAGAGGGATAATTTAATAAATGTGCTGATAGTAAAGTTCCTATTGAGCGTACCCACCCAGATATGTTGGAAATGGAAGAAGGTGCCAGTCTCTGAATCAGAACAAGCCACAGCTGAGGAAGAAGAGAAGGCAAAATTCTAGAGTCTGGGTTTGTAGCCCAGAACAGGGAAGCCAGACTTTCTGGACTTCAAAGTATTTGAGAGTTACTTGGAACTGGGGAAACAGGTCATTAAGCAGGTAGTAATCCTGGGACAAGCAGAAACAATGATTTGTTGGTCAGACCAACAAGATAGTAGCATGCAGCTTACCCTACATAGTACACAAAATGCCCAGGGGGACTGGAAGCCATAATGAAAGACCAATGTCCCAGAGAGCCGAAACTTGCCAAAACTGCAAAGCTTTTCCAAGTCTTGCAAGTTTTCTACCTTTGACAATATACAGTCTTACTACTTACGACTCCTTTTAGGGGGAAATATTTGGGTTTTCCTTCTCTGGAAGGTTCTGCCTTACACAGGTTCTGATTTTCTCAAGTTTTACTACATTAGGTCTAGCACAGTGGCTGCAACAGAGCTCATGCATAGCAGTTGTGACTGGCATTTGACTCTGTTGTACATAGGGGCCTGGAGTCAGAATCAACTTGACAACACTTAACAACGACAACAGACCTGTGATAGGAGTATGCTACGCCCATAACTGCATGCGAGCAGCATAAAGGGAAGAACAAGGAAAACATTCTAGGCATGGCAAAAAAGGTTCCACGGCTACTCCGTAAGGTGCTGTCAATAAAGGTTTCAGTGGCTACGTCCTCAGAAGCAGATAGAGTATTCCTCCTTAAGGAAGGTGCATAACAGGTTTTTGGGGTACAGAGAAATTGTAAAGTTGTAGAAACGGTGGATAACAGAATGTGGCACATTTAAATTATATTCAACTGATTATAAATCTTTATGATCCATGCCACAAACATTGAGTGTAGGTACTCTCTGCAATGGAGTGTGCTAAATGACACAAGAATCAACATTCAAAGTACTTAAATCTGATGTGCAAGACAATGTTAGTGTAATTTGCTGTGGACATTTATTGTAAATGACTCTCTCTTTACCAATAATACTTTGTGGTTGGTTATCAGAAGAGGGGAAAAATAGAATATAAAGGTGAAAGAATATTAAACATTTAAAAAAGGAACTTGTATTCACCTAGTTGCTGTAAACAGGCCTACACTTTTATTATCATATTTCTGGGAATAAGTGCACACAGAAAAGGAACTGTTAATAACTCTCAGTAACAAAGCTTTTCCTGGCACAGTTTATGAGATACATTTATCATGTGGTTACATTCTCTCAGGGAAATTGAGTACTGCAAGGAGTCCAGGTGGCGCAGTAGCTACATGCTGGACTGTGATCCACAAGGTCAGCAGTTTGAAACCACCAGCTGCTCCAAGGGAGAAGGGGCTCTCTACTACGGTAAAGAGTTAGTCTCAGAAACCAACAGGGGCACTTCTACCCTGTGCTACAGGGGCGCTTTGAGTGGGCCTTGGTACAATTTAGGATTTATATGTTGTTTTGGGATTTGGTTTGGGATTTATATATTGTTTTGATCTTTCTTAAAAGGTCAAGGCAATACACAATGATGTCACAAGGCGGGGGAGGTCAGGGCACACTGTCAAGGGGGAACATGAGAATGACTGTCTATAATATATCTGTACAGTGCTTCACCAGAAACTTATTTTTTATAAAAATATCCCTGTAGCTAAAACAAAAACATTTTTCATAGGCCCAGTTTCCCCTGAATCAATATACCAACCAGACAGAAACTCAGTGCTAACTTACATCTTGAACTTTCTGATGTGCCCGCATCGTTGTTGTCATTCTTCCCTAATTACAACTTTCCACACCTTCTATTGCTACTGGAAGGTCCAGCCAAGATCCAAACTCTGCCATCCAGTCAATTACAACTCATCTGGCATGGCATAAATGAGCCCATGGAATCTTGCCTGTCAGCCTTCACAGGTTCATCTTTTCAATTCCTCTAAATTGCTTGTGATTCCTGGACTGCACTGGCCAACGATTGAGAATGGGCCTTTGTAAGCCCCTCTCATTCTTCCCCGTCTGCCCTTACCCTGCACCCACCATTCTCCATTCTTTTTTTTTTTTCCAATCATTTTATTAGGTGCTCATGCAACTCTTATCATAATCCATACATACATCAATTGTGTAAACCACATTTGTACATTCATTGCCCCCATCATTCTCAAAACATTTGCTCTCCACTTAAGCCCCTGGCATCAGCTCCTCATTTTTCCCCTCCCTCCCCACTCCCGCCTCCCTCATGAGCCCTTGATAATTTATAAATTATTATTTTGACATATCTTGCCTTGTCCAACGCCTCCTTTCACCCACTTTTCTGTTGTCCGTCCCCAAGGGAGGAGGTCACATGTAGATCCTTGTCATTGGTTCACCCTTTCCAACCCACTCTCCCTCTACCCTCCCAGTATCGCCACTCACACCACTGGTCCTGAAGGGATCATCCACCCTGGATTTCCTGTGTTTCCAGTTCCTATGTGTACATCCTCTGGTCTAGCCAGACTTACAAGGTAGAATTGGGATCATAATAGTGAGGTCGGGGTGGGGGGGCAGGGGAGGAAACATTTAGGAACTAGAGGAAAGTTGTGTGTTTCATCGTTGCTACATCACACCCTGACTGGCTTGTCCTGTGCTCCATTCTATACTAGATAGTTGCTATTCCCGATTCCCTGTAAGAAGTGCTATCTGATGACCCAATTTATAAAGTGGTTTTCCTCTATCCAAGTCTAAATTATGGTCGTTAACTCTGTAATTGAATCTATCAAATTCAAGTGTCATTATTTGCATCTGTTATTACTTAAATGCTTAATAAGCATTTGCTGGAGTAATTGTATTGGGTTTCTGCCTTAGGAGCCTTGAGGCCGTGTTCATCTTTGTGTCTTTAGCAACTGACCCTGTCTGCTCATTACTTTCTCCTGGGCTCCCGGTGCCTGGCTCATATGCCCACATGAACATCTTGCTGGCATCCCAAACTCAATGTCTAAAATTAAATACAGGTCAAGCTCCTATTCTACCCAACCCCAGCCCTCTTCTCTCTCTTTTACTCACGATCTTCTGACCTAAAAAAAAAAAAGGAAAGGCTCCCTTTCCTCTGTAATCCCCTACCTTGATGGCGGCACTGTCCTCTACATCTACGAAACATATCAAATGTAACCGTCATCTTACTCTCTTCTGCCTACCCCCACTGCGCCAAGTCATGACAAGGATACACTTGCTAGATACAGACTCAGATGAAGTGGGCTCCAGTTCTGGAGTTCTATTCTGTTGTAACAAGCATCTTGGCTTATCCAAAATGGCATACCATGTTTTGGTTGAGAGAGGCAATTTAGCAAATGGTTAAGATTTCAGACTCTGGAATGAGATTGCCTAGTTCAAATCCCAGGTCTACCAGTTCATAGCTAAGTTTTCTCCATAGAGTGAAAATCATGTGACATAATACTTGGGAAACACTAAGCGCTCTACCATGAAATGAATGGTCTTGTACGCATTATCCTCAGTGGATGTGATTATACTTTGATCTGGTTTGGGTTCACCAAACCAAACACACTTCCCCCTCTGTTGTTGTTAGGTGCTGTGGAGTTGCCTGGCCTGCGCCCTCCTCTTATGTTCGAGTCTACTGTTGCAGCCAGTGCTGATTCATCTAGTTGAGGGCCGTCCTCTTTGTCACTGCCCCTCCACCTTACCAAGCATGATGTCCTTCTCCAGGGGCTGGTGTCGCCTGATACTCTGTGAGGCAGCGTGTACTCTAGCTGTACTTCTTCCAAGACAGATCTGTTTGTTCTTTATGGCAGTTGATGGTACTTTGAGTATTCTTCATCAGCACCATAATTCAAATGCATCCATTTTTCTTCGATCTTCCTTATTCGGTGTCCAACTTTCACATGCATACGAGGCAATGGAAAAGACCATGGCTTGGGTCAGGTGCACCTTAGTCCTCAAAGTAACATCCTTGCTTTTCAACATTTTAAAAAGAGAAGCTCACGCCGGAAGATGGTGGCAGCCGTGCAGTTGACGCTGCTTGAGAAGTCCCTGGGGCTGAATAAAAGGAACAAAGACCGTGCCCAGGGTGAGCGCCAGATTCCAGGTCTGAGTTTAACTGGATTAACTGGATTAACGACGATAGCAACTCATCCAGTCAGGCAAGCCCAAAAAGAATCTTTGCTGGGGAGCCCTGCAGAAGAAGAAGCCGTTGTGCAGCAGTGGTTGGCACACAGGGTCACTCAAGGAGATGGACACTCCACTAAGACGACATGCGCATTCTGCTGAAGGGTCTGAATTCTTATCTGGAAGACAAAGGCTACCATACAGGCAATAACCTTACCTTAGCCGATATTCTGTTATACGATGGACTTCACCACTTTATAGTTGACCTGATGTTTCAAGAAAAGGAGAAATATCTTCACGTGTCTCGCTGGTTTGGCCACATTCAGCATTACCCAGGTATCAAGCAACATCTGACTAGTGTCTTCATCAAGAACTGACTGTATGCCAATTCCCATTAGAAGTTTCCCAGGCCATACAGAAGAGTTATTAAAATGTTTCAAGTGAAAAATGCATTCTGGACCCCAGGACTAACATAAATTGATAGTCATTATTTGTTGACAGGAGCTAAATTTTACATTGTACCCTTACACTAGAATATTTTAATTGTTCTTTGGTTGAAATTTTGCAATTTTTTTAAATGTAAAACCTGTTGTCAGAATCATAAATTACCTTGTCTTATAGGTGAAATTTTATTAAAAGTTGGAAATCAGTGGATGAAAAAAAAAGGTCTTTAAAAATAAAGGGGCCTTGTGCAGCAGATTTATCCAATAAAATGTGTTGTTTGATGCTCAGCAATGTGCTCTTGCTGCTTCCAAGGGCACTGATTATTGATCCAAGCAAGATGAAATCTTTGACAATTTCATCTTTTTCTCTGTTTATCACATGATCTTGCCTATTGGTCCAGTTGTAAGGATTTAGGATTTCTTTGCACTGAGTTGTAATCTGTACTGAAGGCTGCAATCCTTGATCTTCATCAGCAAGTGCTTCAAACCCTCCTCACTTTCAGCACGCAAGGCTGTGCCATCTGTGTATTGAAAAGTTGTTAATAACCCTTCCTCCATTTCTGATAGAGCATTCTTCAACTCAGAGCAATCCTGAAAAGATTTCTGTGCCTGTGGATCTTTTGACATAATTCACATACCATACGATTCATTGGTGTGAACAAATCAAGGTGTGCAATCATCACCACAATTCATTTTATAACATTTTCTTTATTCTTTTACTATTATTGGCTCTCCCTTTTCTCCCAAGTTACCCTGCCATGCCCCTAAGAATCTATGAATCAAGTTACTATCACTACAGTTTTACCTCTCCTGGAATTTCAACTATACAGAAAAACCTACCAAAACCCCAAGACTACCCCTGACTCTACATCTTTACGAGAGCAGAGCAGATGGCTTCTTTTTCTCCCACAGAGCGGCTGGTCGGTTTGAACCTCCAACCTTGTGGCTAGTAGTCCAGTGCTTATCCCACAGCAACACCAGGGCTCCTTGGTAATTAGTCATTGTTTATCTTTATTAGATTTTTGTTTTTTTAAGGGTACCACCTTTTAACTTTTGTTAGTGAGGAAGCTCTTTTCCCC